AGACAACCCTATTCTGGCTGTCTTTTTTTTTTTTTTTCAAACTTGCCCAAGAAAACTGGAGGAAAAAAAAAAAAAACTACTAGAACCCCAGACCACACTGTTGGTCCTGTCAGAAAAGGCAGAAAAAAAAAGTCTTGATCTGTCAAGATTTGAAGCATCCCTTTTCCTAAAAGAAAGATAGTGGTCTAAAGTATAAAGAAAAGTATTTTGGAGATTAATGTGTTTATGAGCTAATGAATAGCCCCTTTGGAAGCAGCTTCATAAATGATCCCACGGCTAATGCGGTTAATAAGCCTCGGTCACGCCAGAAAATGTAGTACAGAAGAGGCACTCATAGCCCCAGAGAAGAGGGATAATATGGTTCATTAAAGATACGCTGATTTATCCCCTTTGTTCATGATTGTTGCAATGGCAGTTCGTACATGACCAGGTCTTGTTTAGCTGGCGCAGAAAGTAGACCAGCATGTCCCTTGGCAAGAGGAGTAAGATCACAGCCAAGATCAAACAGGCAATACAGTATATAGTGAGAGTGCACTTTCTTCAAGAAAAAACAAAAAACAGTAGACCATGTTCATAGAGATTTGTTATTGGAACACTTGAGTTTTATTATATGAACATTCTGCTTTCTTAAATTTGTCCTGCATGTTCTGTGGGTTGAACGTCTTATTCACTCTACGGCAGAGTAAGCTACTGCCAGCCTCCTTAACAAATCTAGAAATTATTCAACTTTTCTCTAAGGAAATCTGCAATGTTTCCGAAATGTAAACTGCTGGATCCAAGACATAAGCTGTATTTAGTTATTGTAGATATCACGCCTGGAAGCTGCAGTATAGGTTTGTCCTACACAGAGGAGAACACGTTCAGCTTACACGTGTGGAGACATTACATTCAGCAAGGAGCAGTTCCACCTTTTCTGAGTGATGGGTGATAAATTGAGTCTGTTCATTAACTTTTAATGAAGTCCTCTGTTTAATACAACAGAGGATGGTTAATCCTCCTTATAACTTGGACCTTTGGAGCTCTACCACAACCAGAAGCCCCAGAGTATATGTCTTACAACTTAACTAAGCAACAGAAAATCTTTTCTGACATGATTTCTAATATTAAAAGCTAACATCTACTTTCTTTGTACATCCAAAATATTTTAGTTTGAAACACTAGTAACCAATTAAGTGTCTTACAAAAACATGAAACAGTGTTGCTTTTTGACTGAAACCCTTTCACTGAGATCATTGCATGCTTTATAAAAACAGACCCCCATCCTCCAGGTTTAAGAGACTGAATATTCTCAGTTAGCACATGACCTCACATCTTCTTCGCTATAAGCATGTTTGTGTCGGTGCTCGGAGAGGTATCTGGGCTGACTCTTTTCAAAGAAAAGTCTTGATTGGTTACATAATATCAGGAAAAGAAGGTTGAAAAAAGTCAAGTATGATAGTGACAGTTTAAATCTCAACTAGACATAGACTGGATATAATGTGGAATATAAAAATTGGATCATTCTTGTTGGTGTGTGGTCGTAGAGGTGACATTCACCCAGGTTGGTGTGTGACTTACAGTTTTGTTCGTCATCATCTCCTGAGCTTTGGCAGCCATCTTCATCATCACAGTCTGCGGTGCTTCCTTGCTCTTCCCCACTGCCTGGTTCTTCCCAGACCTCAATTTCATTGAGATTTGGAAACTTCTCCTGGGTTTCCTATGGAAACAGATAATAGAGAATTAGCCTACACTAGAGTACCATTTTCAGACTATAAAAAACAAACAAAACAAAAAAACATAGAAGAGATACATTTTCATAAAACTGAACAAATTTGCAACACTATTCATAGGGTGAGTGAGTAAATAGTTTGCTATGATACGATGATTCAAATATTTAATTGGTATTATGCAAATATTAAAAATAACAAATCTAGTGTTTTTAATTAATTACAATATGAACATCAATATAAAGCAGGCATAATTAACAAGGACAAATATATATTTGTAAGCAGATTAAAATAGTGAAATGGTTTAGAAAATCTGACGGACTGAGTGTGAAGAGATGAGACAGGCCAAACTCAATTTTCTCATAGTGAGGGTGAGAGTAATAAGAAAGTGGACAACAGGGTAGAGACACCGTAAAATGGGTGTTGTCAACCTCATTGACAACCTCAAGTCATGCAATAAATACTATTTTGAAATAGGAACATGAATGATACTTTAAGTTTAGCATGGTGCATGTCAGAAAGGAAAGAAAAAATGCTTCGTTAGTTTTCTTGTGAAACATTTCAAGATGAAACATGACCTACTCTGCCTCGACGCATCAAGTCTTGTAAATGTTGGCTAGAGCTCTAAATATCCTGGGGTAGATCAACATGGGTGGTGCACAATAGCAAAAGGCCCTAGGTGGTAGGATTATGTGTCCCATTTATTTCCAAGCATGTTTCCAGAAAAACATTTACTCAAACAAAAATAGCAAAAAGTGTTTTTTTTTTCTACATGCATCATATTTGTGTTTTTTGTCATATCATTCCATACTTTGTAAGGGGATATGTTCTACCTGAGGGATAGGGGCAACAAATATAATGAATCCAACCCATTGAATGTATGACATCACAAACACCTTTTTTGATACTATGGTGTAGTCATGTCTGTTCATGTGCACTATTATTGGTGCATAATAATAACAGAGATTCACACAGAAGACATATTAACTAAAAACATGTCGATAGACGAATGTAATGAATGTAAAGAGTAATTAGTGTTGAGGGATGACAAATATCTTTGACACCTGCTCTAAGGGTGACCTGTTAAATTCCCTACAACAAAACCTTTCAGGGGACTCCACAGTGGTTCATACTAAAGTAGTATTTAGGAAGTTATGCAAAGTACAATTGTGGATCAGCAGGTATAATGCACGTACGGTATTTGATCAAAACCAAGAGACCAAGACATACAGCGAACAAGTAAAAACCTATGAAATTATAAGAAAACCTGTAAACAGCTTGACTTTTAAAAATGTAAAAAAAAAAAAAAAAATGTCTTCGTCATTAGACGGATTATTGCATTTTTCAACAGTGTGTAATAAAGTAGGCAACTGTAAATTACTGTGCCACAAAAATACGTTTCTGACATTGTATCTCAATGCAATGTGCTATAGTGCAACTGTACAGCTATGGCACAAGCTCAGTGTTGATGAATTAGATATACTGATATGATATAGGGCCTTAAAAACAATGTGGTAAGACAGATCCCTTACAGCCAAAACAAATGAAAAGGATTCCCGAGCGGACATCTCAGCTTTCAGCTTTGCAACAGTTAGTCACATGAAATGCTCAGAAATGATGTATTTGTACAGGTTTTGTTTAAGGGTTGGATGAAATTACAACCTGTCTATTTTGGTATCCTGAGCATATTTTGACTCTTTAGAAATTGTAAACTGATATTCTGTGTTCAAAATGAAAGAACAATGAGCGATATCACAGCCTGTTATTAACAGCAGACTAATGTTAACAGCTGCCAATTTAAGTTTAAATAAAAGGCATGGGAAAATGTAGCAAAGCCAATCAAAATATGTGAATATTTATCACTACCAGATAAATGATATGTAGTGAGAAAACATCCCCTATAAGAAAGATGAAAAACATCTTAATCTCATCCAGAGAATAATGATGGTCAACTCTATGACCTATCTTGACTTGTCATAAAGATGTTGTTTATATCTAAAACTTTAAAAAAATGACAATATGTTTAACACTTATTTCCATTTTCATACAAATTTAGAAAATAGTTTACATACTCAGTACCTCATTAACACCACAGAGCATTATTTTAATAGAGTTAACTGAAACACCTTTGTTTTCAAAGGTGTTGGAAAACACCCGTTTGTCAAATTAGGACTGTCCTGCAAATAATACAATGTTTGACATGAAGGTAAATTGTTAAAAAAAAAAACAAAAAAAAAAAACATGAAACTGGATCCATTGGAAAGAAAAAAGGTTATACTGTGACTATGCTGTTTGACAGGTGCTTCCAGTTATGTAAGATGGTATGCATCCAGGAGAAAAGTGCTTGAAAAAAGGAATTCCAACCTTTCATTATTCTGGCATCCCAGGAGAATTGAAATATTTTCAAAAGACTTGATGAAATAGTTTGCTAGTCCCGCTTATAACGTGCAAACTAATTTTCCCCTCTCTTTCTTCTTAAAAAGATTCTTTAGTCAGAGGATGATAGGGTTTAGAGCTTCAAAGGATAAATTGCTGCAAGCATCCACAGAAAAGCTTGTGCTGGAAGGAAAAATCAGTTGCCTTTAGAATATGCACTGCTTATCAAAATTTTAAGACCAGTTGAATAATGGAAAGAATTCACATTTTGCACTTTTGAAACTAAAGAAGATTCTAAGTTGTAGCTTCACAATATAAAAAGACGAAATGTGAGGGAGCAAGTTATTGCAAACCACCACTGAAATAGGCTGTCTATCATCTCATCAAAAGTTTAAGATCACATCATTCAAAAGACCAAAAATAAATGACTAGATGACTGGTGCTGAGGTTGGACGCAGTAGACAGTAATTTTAAACTTCTTAAAAGATCCTGAGGGTTACGGAAAGGTCAAGTGGCAGACCCCAAAAAATGTCACTGGCAATGAGCCGGAGGATTCAATTCACTGTCTGTCAAGATACACAACCAAATTAAGCTTGTCACTGGCGCCAATTGCAATGGCATAACCATCAGATATCTGCAAGAGAAGAGTTTTAAGAACAAAAAAACTTCTTCTTCAAAGGCCTCAACTCCTTCAGTGGCATAACATTGCCCGTTTAGAGTTTCCACGAAAGCACCAAACATGACACATTGACAGGTGAAAGAAATTTTTATTCTCTGATGAGAAAAAAAAAAAAAATTACCTTGATGTCCACATGGCATGTTTGCTGTAAAATGGTTACTCTGAATTTTTGGTCTCACTCACATTTTTTTTTTTTCTTTTTTGCATTTTGAAGTTCTATTTAGAACCTTCTTAAGATCCAACAGTGCAAAATGTAAATTACTGCCATTTAAAACTTTGATCAGGTCTGTATCTAAAAGAGGCACACACACGTATATTCAAATATAGTTTGACTTTCACTGGAAAGTCTAACAATATGCAAGTCAGCAAACAAGGACTCCTACTCTAAAATGGAAAGATACGCTTTTGATGAAAGATGGTAAAAATAATCTATTATTGATGCCATCTGATTCTCTGCTGATGATTTAACATACAACTCTTTATTCAGGCCATTGGTGGTGAAACTGAAAAAAAAAAAGATCGGATGTTAAAAACAATCTGCAGGGAACAGAGGAGAAAAATGGGTATCAATAACAAAAAAACATTTGCCCTAACCCATATAACATACATGTAAATTACTGATTCATTAAAGGAAAAGAATATTTATTTTAATATAAGCAAATTGATTTACATTTTCAGTACAAGACAAATTCTAAGAAAATAGAAATGTCCCGAAATCAGAGCATAAAAAATAATACTCTAAATGAAAATAGAGATGAGCATTCTTGAAATGCATAACCAAATTTTAAACGATAGCAAAGCAACACACCCCTCCTCGACATGCTGCCACAAGCTGATTGTGTTACTAACTGCTAGTGACACCTTATTGGCTGTGACTTTATATAACACTCGTGAGTCATTCACGGCAATGCACTGTTTTGTTAAGATCGTCACGCCCTGCACCTTTCAGACACTCGCTGAAGCATATTACATGTGTGTATAATGTATGTGTATCATAATAAACTTGGACTTACGGTCGGTGAATGACAGACAACAGTTGGAGCAGCAGTTGCATTTTTTTTTTCTGAGCTTGTTTCAACAACCGCTTTGATGACAAAAAATTGTGAGAAAATATGAGACTGCTTCTGCGTTGCTGGGAACATGAAATACTTCACGCATCAAAGTGAGCTGCACTTGTCCTCCATGGGAAACAATTTAAACGGTTTAAAAAGCAGCTCTGACAAGGTACCACTTGAGGTCATTTGCCAGGAATGCCCATTATAATGGTAATAATCAGCCCACACGCTGGATTAATGAGAGCAGCCTTCACAATGCATGTACTTTCAATATTTCAGTAGCCACCAAAAGAAAAAAAGTGACCTTCTTTTCTACTGCCAATAAACTGCATCTATTAGTCCTTTAAAACAAATTCCCTCATTGGAGAGTCATCGAAACAACAGACGCAACAAAGGCTTAAAATCCCTCACAATAATTATGAAAATATTTGTTCTACTCCTGCACAGATTCAAAACTTTTCAATTTCTCAAACTACTTTCCAATAAATTCACTTAAAAATGATGTAACTTTTTGGGTGTATTTTTTAACTTTCATCTCCAGATTAAAGAGCTACATTTAGATCCAGGCAACAAACCTTGTTATGTCAACATGTGTTGTAATAACTACATTTGCAAGATTGAAACTTAACTATACACACAGCTGTAGTTCTTGCAGGAATGGTGTCCTGGGAAAGCCGCCCCTTCTGTCACATTCCAACCAATTAAAATGCAAACAACTACCTATAGGTAATGCAGTCTGTCAGTATCTCATCCATCCAAGCAAAAGGGCGTAATTTGTGCATGTGAAATTTCGAGCTCATACACGTAGATGTGCACATGCCAGGAGAGTATGTGCACAGGAAAAAATAGGTAGGTCGATTAATCTGCGTTATGTAATATT